GGATGTGGTAGAGGGCACAGCAGTCCCAGTACTTGAGACGTAGAGGCAGAAGGATCAGAAGTTCATGGCCACCTTTGGCTACGTAGTGAGTTTGGGGCTTGTCTAAAACAAACAAACAAACAAATAAATAAAAGGGGCCCATGAGGTGGCTCAGTTGATAAAGCTGTCCTGGAACTCACTTTGTAGACCAGACTGGCCTCAAACTCACAGAGACCCACCTGCCTCTGCCTCCCAAGCGCTAGGATTAAAGGCGTGCACCATCACGCTCTGCTATAAAACGCTTCTCTTGCAAACACAAGGACATGAGTTTGATCCTCAGCACTCAGTGAGAAACCAGAGGGCATGCTATGCACACTTGTAGCCAAACTTTGGGGAGGCAGAGACAGGTACATCTCCAGGACATATCCACCAGCCAGTCTAGCCTTGTCTTCAAGCCCAGAGCCCCAGTGAGGGAACATGACTCAAAAAACAAGAAGGGGCTGCTGTCCTCTTTGGCTTTCTATTGCTGTGATGGAAAGCCATGACCAAAAGCAGCCTTGGGAGGAAAGGGTTTGTTTGACTTACACTTCCACACAATAGTCTACCACTGAGGGAAGTCAGATCAGAAACTCAAGGCAGAGACCTGGAGGCAGGAGCTGAAGCAGAGGCCACAGGGGAGTGCTGTTTACTGGTTTGCTCAGATCCCTTTCTTTTTTACTTTTTCTTCTTTTCTTTCTTTCTCTGTCTAGTCCTAGTTGTTCTGGAACTCATGTTGTAGATCAGGCTGGCCTTGAACACAGAGATTTGCCTGTCTCTGCCTCCAGGTGCTGGGAGTTCAGCTACCCACTTACAACACACACACACACACACACACAGTTTCTCTGTGTAACTTTGGCTGTTTTAGAATTTGTTGATCAGGCTGACCTTGAACTCACAGAGATGCTCCTACCTCTGCCTCCAGAGTGCAGGGATTTAAGGTGTGTACCACCATGCCTGGCTCAGCTATCTTTCTTATACTAGGACCGCCTGCCCATGGATTACATTATCCGCATTGGGTTGGGTCCTTCCACATCAATTAAGAGAGTGTTCCACAGGCTTGCTCACAGCCCAATCTGATGGAGGTATTTTCTTAACTGAAGTTCCCTCTTCCCAGATGACTCTAGCGTGTGCCAAGTTGACCCAACAAACAAAACCAATCAGAAACCCAGGTGGGATTGTTCGACGTGTAAAAGTACTTGCTGTACAAGCCCGATAACCTGAGTTTTAATTCTCAGAGCCAAGAACCGACTCCATGGTGTTGTCCTCTGACCTCCACATACCCTCCATGGCAAGCATAAGTGCACTTGCACACACACAAACACAGTGATAATTGACTTAATTCAAAAACCAAATGGGTGGTTCCTGAGAAACGACACCTGAGATTGACCTCTGGCCTCCACAAATACAATATGTATGTGCACCTGCCTGCACAAGTGCACACACACATGCACACACAGAGATGTACACACACAGGCAGGCACATCCTCACACATGCACAAACGCACACATATGTGTACACACATGCATATGCATGTGTATGCACACACACATAAGTTCTGTTACATATATTTTACCAAAGTAAAACCCCAACCACCTGCCTTCCTTTCCTCTCCAAAGCTTCTCTTGGTGCTGGCCTCAACTGAAGGTGCTCCAGATTTGGCTCCCTATGTGGCCCCAGTGAGCACTTCACCCTCTCTGGTCCTCAGTTCTGTCATGGGATTAGAATTAGAGGCACTCTGGGAATTTCCCAGCACTGATATGTCCCAGCCTGCCTTCTAGATCACTCAGTGGCCCTCCCATCTCCATGACCATCTAAGATACAATAAGGCTGCAGGTCCTGAGTCCCTGAGCCTCAGGCAGGGTGAGTAGTCTTGGTGACTATGAGAAAAGCCAGCTGGGGGTTGTTACACCATCCTAATAAACACACCCCTCTGGAGGCCTTCCTGGTCCCTTAGAGTTTATAGAATACACCCACATCCCTGCTCTCTGTGACCCTTTCATTCTACAAACATCCTAGGTCTGTCCCCTGTGCCCAAAACTGGGCTAGCCCAAGCCCTGGGGGAAGGGAGATGCTTAGAGGCATGATGGTGGGAATATGGTTGGAGCATGCTGGCTGGAGAGATGAGGGCAGATGGGCCAGGGCTGGTGAATGGGAGAAGATGAGGGAGCCTGTAGAGTCAGGCAGCGCCAGGTTCCCTCCGCCATCACCTCTGAGCCACTGACACTCTAAAGGCTGACCTCCATCCGTAGGGAAAGGAAGGCAGCCCTGCACCACGGAGAATGCACACTCCCACTTGTTAGTGGATAGCATTCTGGGTAGAGATGGATTGGAGTGAGAAGCAGAGGGGCTTGGGCGGCCACGACTAGGCAGGCACACCAGGTGGCAGGCGACTGGCCAGGATCGCCAGAAAGTGACAGATCTAGCTTCAAGTCCTCCTGCTTGCTGTGTATCCAAATCCAGTCCAACCCTCTTGGGCTGCCATTCGGGTCCCTGGTAATGTCACTGAATCCTCAATGCGTGCTGGTTCTGAGTGCCACCAGCATGAACTCGCATGCCCTTACAGTTCCCAGTACTAGCCAAGCCCACCTTTACCAATGAGGGAGTCAGGTAAGAGATGGCGAGTCAGTCACTTGCCCACGGTCACTTAGAATAAGGCAGCTACAGCCAGAGATCGCTGGAGGTTTGTTTTTTTTGCTGTTATTGTTTTGAGATAAGATTTCTCTGTGTAGCTTTGGAGCCCGGCCTGGAACTCTGTAGACCAGGTTGGCCTTGAACTCACAGAGATCCTCCTTCCTCTGCACCATTCCCCATTAGCCTGCTTTTCTCATTCCCAAATCAGTGGTTGAACCCTAACCCTCAGTAGACCCAAAGACAAAGGCAGAGGCGGAGATGGGGGCGATGTGCTGAACGAAAAGAGCCCAGTGGAGGTATTAGCTCTCCTGCAAAAACTTAGTTCATTTCAGGTGTCCCTTTGGGGCCTAAGCTTCCCAAGCATCTGTTTGGTTACAGTAAATCCCACCTACCTCCTTTTCTAGGGCTAAGAGCATTCTCCGAGGCCTCGGGCTCTGTTTAGAAGCCTCTCTTTGGAGCATGAGTCAGTCACCAGATCGTGGGTGGTCTGGGGGTGACCAGGATGTCACTGCCGGGTACTGGGTTGGAGGCAGCTGCTGCCCGAGATGGCCAACTAGCAACTCCAGGGACAAGCTCCAGGGACCCAGCACCCTCACCTGGAACCTGAGGGGCTGGAGCAGAGCTCAGGCCCTTGGGAGCAAAGGCAGTCATAGAACAAGTGAGCTGGCTAAGGACCTGTGGTGGTCAGTCTAAGGACCTGGAACCCATGTACGTGGTGGTAGGAGGGTTCTCAGGCCTCCCACGCATGCACACACACAAAACAAACGAATGAATGAATGTCATTTGAAAGGAAAAGGCAGCTATGATCTCAGCTGGGTTCAGTCCCCTCCTGCAGCTGGGTCCCTTACCAGAGGTCTTTAAGAAGGTCCATTTGCTGCAGGTCTGATGACCCGAGTTTGACCACTGTAACTCATATGATGGAAGGAGTCAATCTACGCCTGCAAACTGACCTCTGACCTCTTCTACATGGATGTCATGGCACACACAGAGACACATACACACAAAGGTAAACATATAAATAAATAAATGATCTGTGATTCCTATCACCTGCCCTGTCCACCTGCACTCCCTTGTAACCACCACACGTGAGGACAGGAAGGGCTCACACGATCAGCAGAAGGTAGCAGAGCTGACGTGATTGTGGGATTCGGTAGCTTCCGGCTTGGTCAGTCCCATGAACGACTTGCTCTGGGAAAGCCTTGTCATGAGAACTCCGAGGGTTGGACCTTTCGGTGAGGAAGTGGCCCCATGAGTGGACCCGGAGCAGAGCTTTCAGCTCAGTTAGCCTGAGGCCGCCACAGCCAAATGCCTAGCTTGGCATAAGCTCTGCGCAGCCACCAGAAGCACCTGGCTCCTGCCACAGCAATCACGGGCAAGAAGAAATAGTCGCAACTTAAACTGCTGCGGTGGGCTAATTTACAGACTCCACAGAGCTCCGTATGTCCATGTCAGTCTCCAAGAGAAGACACGGAGCCCTTCTGTGAGGATGGGCCCCGGAAAACGGCCCTCATACTCTCCGCTCCTACAGTATGATGGGCCATCCAACCACCAACTGCAAAATGCCCCGTTTTGAATCAGAACCCATACTCTCTACTTTTCATATACCCTTAACACAGCTCATGTGGCAGATTTTAAGTGTGTGTGCGTGTGTGCGCGAGCTTGTGTGTATGTCCCCTTATCAAGGTCCTAAGAGAAGCCCTACTCCAGAGCTCAAAATGGGTCAAGTTGGGAAGTAGGTCTCCAACGTTCTTCCTCAGACTGTGGTGAGATGGTGTTTTCTAGTTTTCTCAGAGCTCTGAGAGGGACCTGAGCCTCTCCCGTCAGACCAGACCAGTCTCTCTCCTCAGACCAGACCTCTCTCTCTCTCTCTCTCTCTCTCTCTCTCTCTCTCTCTCTCTCTCTCTCTCTCTCTCTCCACATTCCTCTCCTTCCCCCCCCTCTCTCTCTCTCTCTCTCTCTCTCTCTCTCTCTCTCTCTCTCTCTCTCTCTCTCTCCCTCCAGCACTCAGTGGACACGCCCCAGCCTGGACAAGGAGGAACAAGCCCTGGCTTGGTTCTTATATATAAACAAATCCTCTCTCTCCTTTTCTTTCCCCCTTCTTTCCTTTGTCCCGCAGCCTAGAACTCCTACATAGCTGCAGACAGCCTTCAAGTACTGATCCTCCTGCCTCCACTTCTCAAGGACTGGGATTACAGGTGTGTGCCACCACGTCCGAACAGCTCCCTTTTCAGTTGACTCCCTCTGCACCAAATCCAGTACGCGCTGAAACCACATCCCCGATGGCTCCAAGGCCTACTAAAGTCCTGAAGGTTTCTTCTTTGCAAGAAAGATAGCTTTAAAAAAAAAAAGCTATAATGCAAACACTTTATTATCAAGAGTGACTGGTATTAGTTTTGTCTGGGCATTAATAGTTTAAAAAAACCATACACCAAACCCAGGTTTGCCACCTAGTTCTGCTGTATAATTTTCTTTAAAAAAGGAAAGAGGGAAAGAAAGAAAAAAATATATCTGTATTGAAAGAATTACAAGCCAAAGTGCGTCTTTCTTGTTTCTCCATATACACACATTGCACCATATATAAATAATTACGTTGTAAAAATGACTCCATAATTACAAGTATAATATATATTTCCATATAATATATAAAACTTTATATTAAATCTAGGTAGATGATATCTGGGGGAAGGGCGAGGTTGTCCCTGGGGGGGCGTCTCTGGGCGCTGACCCCCGGAGGTGGGGGGACGCTGCGGCGCAGTGGCAGCCTCCATGCTATCTGTGGTTGTTGAGGAGGATCTCCAGCCAGCAGGGGCAGGAGGTGATGAACTGTCGCGAGTAGCAGGGTCCCCAGCCCTTGGCGAAGCTGATGCGCACGCTGTGTGGGTCGTAGGGGCCATGGGCGGCGTCTGCGTGCTGCAACAGCCCTGAGCGCTCAAAGTCGAACACCTTGATGGAGTAGCCCGGCGGCACCTTGCGCACGACCAGGGCGCGGCCTCCGGGCGCATCCAGCGTGGGGGAGTTAACGAAGATGGGGTGCTCGCCCCGGTTGTAGGCCCACACGCCGTCTGGCTCCTTGCTGAGCAGGATGCCGAAGCCGATCTTGCTGCGTGTGCGCCGCACCGACTCACTGCGCTGTTCCAGGTTGAGCTGGCCCAGGCAGAAGCCGCTGCCCTGAGGTAGGTCGTAGAAGATGCTGACGGCCTGGTCGTACACCGCATAGAGGCGGCCCACGCGCGTCCGGTGCTCCCAGTAAGCCACGCTGCACCAGTGGCTCGGCTTGGTGGCATCTGGAGACATGCTTGCATCTGCAGGGCAAGCACAAGAAATGGCAAGATTACTGCGGGTGCGGAAGCTAGGGGAGGCTAGGAAAGGTTTTCCAAGGACAACCAGCATATGTGTACCAACCAGGCCACTGTGTGCCAGACCGTCAAATAACTGATCACACAGTGGGGATTTATCACTCTTTAAAAATAATAAAAAATTGCTGGGCAGTGGTGGCTCACACACTCTGGAGGCCGAGGCAGGTGGATCTCTGTGAGTTCGAGGTCAGCCTGGGTCTACAGAGCTAGTTCCAGGCTGTAACACAGAGAAACCCAGTCTCGGTGGGAAAAAACAAAAACAAACAAACAAACATAAAACAAGACATCTGTGTCTGTCTGTATTTATGTGTGGTGGAGTCCTTCCAGCTAGGTAGCAAGCATCGTTACCAACTGAGCAGTGTGCTTCCCTCCTCCCCACACAAGACGATGAACTTACAGTATGCAAGCCATGATGCCTACTGTGTGCTAGACCCTGGGGTACATAGATAGGAACCACGTCCAGCTTCTGCCCACTATAATTTTACATCTAGGAGAGATAAACACCAACAAACACAAATAGAACCTATAATCTACCAAGTGAGAGTAGCAATCTTATAAGACCCTGTTTCTAAGGCCACCAGGGGCTGCCCAAGGTGCACAGAGGCCCACCGGGATGTGATTCGAACCCCTTAGTCCAAGACTCCACACCAGTAGAGCTCCTCAAGGGGCCTCCAGCATGGGACAGGGGTCACTAAGGTGGGGACCTCTTAGAGTAAGGCATGGTGACATGCACTTTCTGTCTCAAGTCCTAGGAGGTGGAAGATGCAGGATGATGGTTCAAACCAGCTCGGGCAACAGATTGAGGCCCCCATCCCCCCACAAAGAACAATGCTGACTCTGCCTGCCTCAGTCTCCCTGCGGTCCTTACCAAGTAGACTTTCCAGTCCTCCGAGAACCACAGGTACTTCTGAGCAGCCTCACTTGGCGGCTGCTAAGTGCTATTCGGAAAAGTGGGCTTTGCTCTCCAATGGATGTGCCATTTCTGAGGTGTGTGCAGCTCCTCTCTGGGCCTTAGCTTTCCCACTGCAGAGCAGAGACCTGTGCTCTGTTCTGTGGCCTTGAAACGCTGCCCCCACTCAAAGTGGGAGATTTCTGCACGTGTGAGGACCTCATGTAGGCACGTCTGTCTGGGAAGGTGGTCCCAGATCCCAAGCCCTTGGGTATGGCACACTTTTCAGATGCCAAAGCCTCTAGTAGCCTGTCTTTGCTTTGGGCTCACAGCTCTGAGAGGCAAGCGGGCACCATGACTGCCCAGTGAGGTGATATGATCTGTCGTGCCCGCTTCTGGCCAGGCCCTTCTGAACACAGAACCAAACATTTACCCAACTCTTCCCAGGGAAACTGACCAATGCTCAACTTAAGCCCAGGTGAGCAACCATCACTGGGACCATGAGGCCAGCTCTGCAGAGTCCACTCAAGTCCTAATTCTCAGCCCTGGGCTCTGGGACAACTTTTCACCCATACAAGGCTACCTGACTCCTAGCAGGAAACTGCCCAAGAAGCCTTCCATAGGCTGCCACCTTGGGCTGCACAAGGACCTTATGAACAGGCTCTTTGCCATTTGTTGTTCAGGTGCCAGCCAGGTTCCTCCGTCTGCTGAGGGCAGTCAATCTTCACACCAGCTAAAAGCTAGGTACAGGGGGAGCAGGGGACAACAAGGAGATCCTGGCTATGCTCAACTAAGTGTCCTTGGCAAGTGGACTTAGATAACTCAAGCTCGAGTCCATGGCAGGTGACCAGGATCAGAAAGATCCGGAACTCCATCCTGCCAAGCCACTGTTCCTTTCTGTACCCATCCATCTGGCACAGGCCTGGGAAACTCAAGGACCAGAAAAACAGGGCTATGCTTAGCGGCCATGAGCTTCCGGTACTGCTCACAGACAGCGGGACATCCTCTAGTGAGCTAGACCAAGTGAGGTCAAGAAGCTAAGTGAGGAGCCTGAGTGTGCTGGGAGCAGAGCCAGGGTGGGTACCAGGCATCTCTGGGCACCTCGTATGAGGTGTGCACTGCCTTCGTAGGTGAGGAAACTGAATCCCAGGTTGCGCACCCCAGAATCTGGAGCCAGCCTCACTGAGGGCACACCTCGTGCATGCGGTGCCAGTGATAAGATGCAGGGTAGCCGGCACCAGCCAAGCAAGAAATCTCCCACTGAGCAACACCCAGACCCCAAGTCAACCCGCTAGAGGGCGCTCTTCTCCGTTCTCAACCTACCTAATGCTGTGACCCTTTACTGCATATAGTTCCTCAAGTTGTGATGACCTCGCCCCCCCCCAGCATAAATTTTCATTGCTACTTCATGAATGTAATTTTGCTACTGTTATTCATTGTAATGTCAATATTTTTGGAGACAGAGGTTTGCCAAAGGCTGCTCTAGGCAGAATGTCTGCCAGGCAGGCTCTTCCTTAAAACTGCACTGGGCCAGTCACTTCCCTTCTGTAAGCCTCAGTTTCCCTATCTGTAATGGCAACTGATCTAAGGGCCTGTAGGTTCTGTAGGTGCTTGCTTCCCTCACTGACTGAGGGAGCCGATTATATCTGGGTACAATGTAGCACCATGTCCAGCTTCTTTTAAAGGAGGGAATGTGCCAGGGGCCGCATGCAGGGGGATGTGGGGGTGGAGTGGGGGGAGATACTTTCTCCTTGCCAGCTTCTAGAAGGCTTTGCAACTCAAGTCCAGCTGGACTCGCTGTTTCTCTCAGCTCCCTGCCCTGATCCCTAGCCTGGCCACAGGATCCTACACAGGGATGGGGGTTACCTTATGAGCTGGGGTGAACAGCTCCAGCTGTCTGGCTCTGCATGCCCCTGCTGGACCCATCTCCACCCCCTGTGGCTCTTAAGCTAACTGGCTTCCAAATTCCAGAAAGTAGCCAGCCTGCTGCCCTGTACGCCCTCTTTGACCACCCTCTCGGCCTTTCACTCCAGCATCCTTTGGTCCCGGACAAAGGGCCTGCTTGGGTCAGTGACCCTGGGGATGGCCTACTCCCCATACTCCCTACATCTACACAGGAGCAGAAAAATCTCTCATGTCCTCTCTGGGTCCTCCTCCCCCATCCTTACGACGCTGTGAGTACACTGAGGCAGAGGAAGGAAGTAAACAAAGCACATCCTAAGTGTCATGTGCCTAGTTCATGGAAGCCCGCCCTGAAGGTGAGTTCAGCCTCAGGTCTGAGGGAAGCGAAGGGTAGTGGGCACGGGCCCTGAGAGTGACCCCTGCCCCGAGCCTCAGAGTTCCTCAAAATCATCTCATCTGGTGGAGATACCAAGGTGCCCCTAGAAAGGTGTGTGTGTGTGTGTGTATGTGTGTGTATGTATGTATGTATGTATGTACTGTGGAGGGAGGGGGTGAACCCGGGACCTTAGGCATGCTACGCAAGAGCTCTACCACTGAGCAACACCCCAAACCCACGCCACACTTTAAGAGGGAAATGGGGTTGGGAGCGATGGCACAGAACTCACCTCTGCTTTATTTTGTCCTATGGGTATTTATCTTCTAATTCTATTTTTCCCTCCATGAACTAAGGAAAACTTGGTCTAGAGAGGGCCTGTGGGTTCTACAAGTGCAGTTTATACCTGGAAGGTGACACCCGGGCTGCAGGGGGTGGGTGGCAGGGGTGCGGTGTAGAGTGATTGCCTGATGACGTGAAACAGAGAGAGGCAAAACTGGGGCCAGGACCTAAGATCCTTGAATGAGTCAAACACTTTGAATGACAGAGAACAAAGGCTGCAGTCACGTGACTAGCTGTGCAGCCACCAGCAGGCCACCCCTCCACCCCACACTGGAGACTTATCAATCACCAAGGGTTCTGCTCACAGGAGGTCGTGGTGGACTTGCTAGAAACTCAAACAGTAAAGCAAGCAGTCATTTTGCTCATTGGCTCCGGGCCTGTGGGAACAACCCAGGCAAGGGTACTCAAACTTAGGGGGGCTTCAAGAGGACAGTGGGTGGGAGAGCCCTTTTTACACTCTATGAGGCACCTTGGTTAGGCCCGGGTCTGACATCTGTGGTGACAGACCTGCCCTGTAAGAAAACTGAATGGCTAGAATGAGCTGGCTGTGGCTCCCTGCTCACACCCACAGCTCCCAAGAACTCAGTTTGGTGGAGACCTGTCTGCCGTAAACCAGTGCCTCAGCAACCGTGAGCGGGCAGGCTGTACCCATGAGCCCACACGGCCCTACTCTCCTCATTGGGGATAGCGTCTCATAGAAAGAACCTTTTCTCTCTGGGGCTCCAAAGCCCTGGTCCTGTCATCTCCCACAGCCACCGGCCTAATTAGGGACCATCTCTTTAATTGCAAATAAATACCGGGGGAGTCAGACCAGAGCAACATCAAAGATGACCGAGGCCTGACCGAAACTCCTGCTCAGTCCCATTTCCCCCCTCTGAATCCCTGGCCAGCTCAGGGCCTGGCCTAGTTCCCAGCCCGCTGTGGGTCCCGCTGGGAGGGGTGGGTGGGAGGAGGAGAAAAGCTGGGAGCCCAGCTTTCTTTCTAGTCGAGATCAGTTAACTGCTCCTTTCTCAACCTCAGTCTTCCTACCTGAGTAACAAGGAAGTAACTTCAACTCAGCCCTAATCGGCTAGCCCCAGCAAGCTCTGGTCATTCCCTTGCCTGGAGCCCTGCTGGGGATGGGGCGGCCCTTCCAGGAACACAGTTCAGCAACGAAAGGACCCAACTCCAGACACACAACAGTATGGATCACCCTCACGTGCACCTGCTTGGCCAAGGAAGTCACACACAGAAAACCCACTGAAGGCCAGAGACAGGAAGCTCTTGGCAGGCAGAACAGCTGGTAGGAAACACAAGGGCAGAGCTGGGTTTGTCTTCGTGTTCAAAGCTCCAAGTTCCACCCCCTCCCCACTGCATTAAATAAATAAAAAAATAAAAGTAAAGAAGGAGAAAGAAAAAAACAAACACGAGGGATCAGGATAGCTGACAACCTGGGGGATC